CCTCCAGGTCTCTGCCTTAATGTCACTTCCTCAGGGACACTCGCGCAGACCCCCACCCCCACTGCCTATGACACACACATCGCCCGTGGGGTGCTTATCACAATGGTACTTTACTCAGTATTTATCTAACATCCGCCTCAGCTGCCAGCCTCTGCACTCCTGAGTGAAGGGAGTGGGTGCATGGTAAACATTTAATGAATAAACAAATGAAAACCATTAAATTATTTTATTCAGATGAAAGATCATCAAACCTTACTAGCTTTCCTGGAATCAATATGCAATTAAACCTAAAGAAAAAAAATAAGATTATGCTCAAAATGGAAATAAAGATAAAATACCTAAGAGTTAAAAAATGTTATTGAGGGAACTAAAAGAAAAATTAGTTTTAAAAGCACATCAGGCTCTTTAGTAGAAAACCTTAGTATGGTAAAGATGGGAATTCTTCCCAAATTAAACTGTAAAACTAACACAATTTCAATAAGAAATCTCAATGGTGTGTGTGTGTGTGGTGGGGGGACTTAACTAAATGATTCCAAGTTCTTCTGGGAGCACAGACCTTTTACTTAAGTATCTTGCTACTTTGCAGGAGCAATGAGAATGGACTTTCATGTCCAGAGAAGGCTTCACTCCCTGCAGGTGGGAAAGGGAAGATGGCGGTGGAACTGGCATCTAAATTCAGACCTGGCCCAGCTCAGGGAGGGTCACCACCAGAAGAGTCAGTGGCGACCAGGAAGGACAGAGGCTGGAAGCAGCAGCTGGTATTAGAACTAGCTGATGTGATCAGGGCACAATTTAAGGCAGGTGGAGGTGAAAGGCAGCGAATGGGGCTCTAGCCCACGGATGGGGGAGACCTTTAGGCAGGGACGTACCAGCTCCGCATCACCTCCTGGAAGACTCAGAACTCTGGGCTTGCTGTGACTTCACATCTGAACTTGCCCAGACTGCCCAGCCAGCACCGGCACAATCGGGTCACGTGTCTCCCCACCCAGAGGCTGGCTCGTGGACAGACAGCACAGCTATCAAGCTAGTGCCATTCAGAGAGTATTTGGCCAGGCGCTGTCCCAGGGGCCCGGAGAAGGGCACGCACCACACCTGCACCCCAGAGCTCTGTCCAGCAGAAAAGCCAGACAGGTGAGCACTGAGCGCAGTGATGGAGACGCGTGCGGTAACCATCAGGCAGAACGCGGGTGAGCGAGGGTGCCCAGGAAGGTGGGTGGAAGATGTGCGCTGAGCAGACAACTGAAAATCTTTCCTAACACGACCCAGAGGTCAAGCCCACCCCATTGACTCGAAGGCAGCCACGTGGCCTCCCCGCCAGCTCCCACGCTTGGTTCTCGCACCACACACAGCAGTCTGGGTGTCGCCCCAGCCGGGCACACGGCCTACCCACCTTGGACGTGATGTGGAAGGAACGGTGCCCGCCCACTGCAATCTGCTTCTTCATCACACTGAAGCGGTTGAACCGGCAGAGCAAGAGACCAGCGCTGTGCACCCGCAGGTTGAAGTCCACATCGTCACACAGGAACCTGCTCGGAACCAGAGGAGGGGCAGATGGCACTGGACGCAGCTCATGCCTCCACCAGCACCACACATGTGGAGTGTGTGTCCCTCTACTGGGGGCTACAGAGGGGAAGGAGGCTCGCTGCTGCCCTCCAGACCTTCCTCTAGGAAGGCACAGAAGGCAAAGCAAACAAGGAGAAGAGGACAAGCTGTGATGTGTCGGCACCAGGAATGGCAGGGGATACCTAAGGCGTAAGCTACAGATGGACTGCCATCTGTTGACCATACGCTCCACGCCAGGCATGGTGTGAGGACTCTACAAACACCCTTTCATCTCTCTGTTAAGAAGAAAACAACAAACCTGCCAGGGTAAAAAATTAGCCACTTTTTACATCTGAGGAAAACGAGGCTCAGAGATGGTAAGTGGCCTGCCTCGCCTGCCAAGCTGGTAAGGGGCAGAGCCAGATGCCTAACAGGTAGGTTGGCCTAGCTCCGAAATCCACACTCCTACGTGGGCCACCTCAGGTGTCTGCCCACTGCCTGGCACGTGAGGACACTCGACGGGCGTTAGCGATTAGGTTCTTCTTGAGAGATGTGCACTTCTATGGCTAGATGCGCTGAGAGCGGCATATGGAAATTACTTTACAGTTTTCTTCAGTGCGAACGCTGCTAAAAAGCCCCGTGTTCAGAGAGGGAGCCAAAAAAAGCAAGAGAAACACATAATCACACAGTACAATGTAAGTCGCTAAATAAAGTACCATGTGAATTGATGAAGGAAGTTGAATGATCTGATGCAAATCTCCCTTCCAGAAAACTGTACAACAAAAATACCAAAAAAAAAAAAGCAGGGACCAGGCCAGCTCCCTGGGCAGGAGGCCTCTGGTTCCCCTGGCCTTGCAGGGCAGAGGAGAAGCAGCCCCCCACCAAGGCCCAGGGCTGCCCCTCACGGGGGGGCTGTGCTGACAGCCGCACTGGGGCTGGAGCTCACCGGTTCTGGTTGTACTGCACGTTCTGGGTCAGGTCCACATTCAGGACGATGAAGTCATGCACATGGCAGCGGGAGAAGGGCTCGCGCACCTCACGGCGCCCAGTCTTGCTGGACCACTTCCGCATGCCAATCAGGGCATAGTGGGTGATATTGGGGGATGCCTCGATGTGCTGCATGATGTACTTCAAAGAGACGTTCCTTTCTGACCAGGAAAATTCTCTGCTCGAAGGAGGGAGAGTGATATCTCTAGGTTGACATGCAAAGCAAACACAAGCAAGGCCCTCTGGACCGGGCCAATCAGGACGCTGCTCTCCACTTGCTGGGCTGGGCTTGTGCAGACGGAGCCCATCACAACCACCACGGAGAGCCAGGCACCAGGCTAAGCACTTCAAATTTATTATCGTTTATCCTCACAGCAATCCTCTGACATAGGTACATCATCCCCATTTTACAGATGAGGACAAAGAAGCTCTGGGTAACTTGCCCTTTGTTGCTCAACAGAGCCTGGATTTGAACAGCTCTGCCCCCAAAGCCCACACTCTTCCCATCATGCCAAACCACCTCGCATTTCCGGTTTCTAGATCTGAAGGTAAAATATAGGGAGGAGTGAGGTTTTCTGCTGTGAATTCCAAACGAAAGAGTGGGAAGGAAGGGGGCAATATGTAAATGCCCCCCACTCCCAGGACGGGGTTCGAGGTCTGTGAAGACACCTGATGACCAGAGAGGGAGGGCTGAGGGTGACTCTAGGGCTAGGAGTCGGGGATGAGAGTTCTGTCCAGGGGGGCCCAGGCAAGTCGCTCAACTTTTCTGGACCTCAGCTTTCTTTTCCCCACCTGAGGGGCTTAAGCTAAACTCTCTAAGGACCCCACCGGCTAAGCCATTCCAGGGCATTAACTGCTGCTGTGGAATGAAATTCTCCATCCTCGTCCCCATCTGGGCCCTTAGTCAAGCTTGTGCCCTTGGAAAAGGGACAGCGAGAATACTGAAAATAAAGCAGATCATTGTTTTCATAAGCCATGTGCTGTCAGCCTAATGTTGTCTCTCATAAAACCAGCCCGAAGTAATCAGAAGTCATCCAGCAGCCCTCAGTGGAAACAGGAATATGGCAAAATCACACGGAAATATTGTGTGAAGGGTGCTCCACACGACTGTATCCACTGAGACGCTGTTGCTTTGTGCTGTTCCACCGCCCGCTGGCTCCTGCGGGGACACCATGGCCACACCGGTCAAGACTGATGAATCCTCACAACAAACCACCAGCACAGGTTTTAGCGCCCCTTTGAAAGGTGAGGAAACTGGAAGCCAAAAAGAGTGCTCTCCCTACTGCCGCACAGCAAATAAAAACACAGCCCGGCCTTAGCAGTGAGGCTGCGGGGACTGGAAGTCAACAGAAACAGGCTTCAGGGGTGCTGACGGGGGCCCCTTTCTTCTTATGGGAGGTGGTTCAATGGGCGTGTTCAGTTTGTGAATATTTCTGTACATGTATTATATGTTCCTTTTTGTACGCATTTTATACTGAATACATATTGTGTGATTTTCTGTATGCATTATACTTCAATCAAAATTTTAAACTCACAGTGAAGCCAAGAACGTGAGTCTGCCACATCCAGGGCTCTGTCACCCCCCACGCCATGCTTTCCTGCAGGAGGTGCCCCCTCGGGGTCCCCACAGGGTGGACGAAAGCACGCCCCTCCTCCGTCTTACTTGGAGGCTCGGTAGGGACCTCACCTGCTTCTCTCCCCACCACAGTCCACGTCCACCACGTTCCACATCACGCAGGAGTCGTCCGAGATCACGATGAAAGGCCAGATGTCCTGCGGCTTGATGCCAAGTTCCTCCTGCCGGTTGCGCTCCAGCTCCAGGTTGTGATAAGACAGCTCCTTGATCAGGAAGTGGGCGGCGCCTGAAACGGGCAAACCCACCCCTCACTCAGGTCTGCCCACCCAGGACAAAAGCCCCACTGCGAATGAGAACGGCTCATCGAGGCCCCGCCCCCCACGCCGCCAGCTCCGGGCGGCACGCCTCTGCATCACTCATGCACCCGCTTGTGGCCGCCGTTGACTTGGGAGAGAAAATTCTAGGGGAGAAAATACTCTCCAGTTTGCACACGTATTTGTTTGCTTATCCTTTGCTTTTCTAACATGACAGGAGAACATGAGTCAAATCAATAACCAAACCTCGAAGAAGAAACAAATCAAAAGTGCCTTAAAAGTCCAAAGGCTTGATGACAAACGTTTAACTCTTTTGTCTAGAACATTCTCTCAAGTCTGCGTTCCCAGGAATTTAGCAGAGTGGGGCATGTGAAAAGTCCCTACCAACTCCAGCGCTGTTGAAGATGCTTGGCAGCACCAGCATGATGTGGTTGGGCCAGTACTTCTTATAAATAGCCATCTCGTACTCCTTGACAACCAGCACGTGCAAATGGCTGGCACCGTCCATCGCATGGTACAGGTTAAAGAGTCCGTGTTCGTGGCGGCCCGTTGTTGGGGTGAACGTCGGGCTTTTTATATATTCATGACTCTGGAAAGTAGAGGCATAAGGAGGGAAAGTATAAACATAGCCACAATGACTCCCCCCTCTTTGAAAGGTAACTTGGCAGCATCTTCCATCAAAAGATGGAGTCAATTTCCACACTTCTTGATTCCAGCTTAGCCTTGCAATTTGCTTTTACCGAAAAAATGCAGTAAAAATGACGGTGTGCCAGTTCTGAGCCTGGCTGCAGGAGGGCTGACACATCCTGCCCTCTCTCAGAGTCCTCCCAGGACCAAGCCGGCCTAGCCTGTTGGAGGAGAGCCCACATGGAGCAGAGCTGGGCACCCACTGAGGCCATCCTAGCCCAGGAGCCCCCAGAAACCTGGCAGCTAACCAGGCACAAGTGAGCACAGTCAAGCCCGTATTGTAACGACCCCGCTGAAAGAGCCCGAACTGCTTGTCCACAGAATCAGAAACTACGTAAACGCTTGTTTGGGAATGGGTGGCTAAGCAACCCAAGCTAAATAACTGGCATATATCAATTACCCCAACGCATTATCCTTTCATATTAGTGTCTAGTTCTGAGTACACACTGCTCCTGTCTGACTTAAATCTCCCAGTCACTTACCCATATTGCCTAGCTATTTATACACTCAGGCTGGGAATTTTTATATAAAGAACGATGTTTTCATCACGCTTTCCTCAACTGTAAGTTCCTTGGGCTGAGCTAAGTCTTCTGCTCCCTCTGAATTCCTCAAAGCACCAGCTACAAAGCTGTGAGGCAGCCGGTGCCCATAGCTTGTTCTGACTGGCACTGGCTGGAAAAAGGAGGGATCCTTGATCCCTGTAATACCCATGTCCAGCCCACGGGGTGGGAGACCGTCTCACAAAGGCATCCTTGGTACTTTACAAATGTTCTCACTGCTTAAGTCTGGGTCTGAAAGGCCAGGGTCAACTGTATGGGTGTCTGGGCCTCTGGAGAAAAGTTACACAAGAGTCCTGGTGACTGGGGCTGGTCAGAGGACAGCAAGGTGGCTGAGGCCGTCAGGCTGGAACCGTCCAACCAAATGCCCCTGTGAGGAGCTTGTCTGTGAGAATGGCGGTCGCAAAGGCGATGGATTACTAACAATCTCTTCAAAAGAGGAAAATGATCCTTTAGAGACACACATTGAAATGTTTATGGATGAAATGATACGATGTCTGGGATTCGCTTCCAAATAATACAGGAAAGCAAAAGAGAAGGACAGATGAGACAAGACCGGCCACGTGTTAATAATTGCTGAAGTTGGTAACAGGCCCTGCAGGAATCATACTACTCTACCGCCATAGCCTCTTTGAATGTCCTGTAACAGAAAGCATCAAAGAAAAGCCAGTGGAAGCGAAGAATATCTTCCCAGCACTTGTTATCTTCCAGGTACTGTGCTGGTGCCTTAAGCCGGTCATTCTAAAAATTCTCACTACAAGTTTCTGTACGATCTATTATTGCCCAAGTGTACAGATGAGGAAACTCAGGCTCAGAGATATTCAGGGGCAAGTTCAAATAACCACAGCAAGTAAAGGGTAGAGCGAGGCTCAAACCTGACTCTAAGTGACCCAGAGCCCTTGTGTCTCCAGCCTCCTCCAAGTTCAATCACCATATTGGTCTTCCCTCCCCACCCCACGTGCCCTTGACTCATCGGGCGATTACAGTCTCTGGGTCTCCAGCTCAGGGGTCAGTTGCAGCCACTCCGATTTGACCCACTGGACTCAGAGCCAGTACCTTGTCTGTGACGAGGGGCAGCCGCATGCTCTCGAGCTGGCCTCCAGGTTGGCTGAAGACAAAGTGATGCTCCTTGGACTTGGGGATGATGAAATGGAGCTGGACTTCCTCTCCTAGCATGGAGTAAGAGAAGGCAAAGGCGTGCAGGGTGGACTCATAGAGCTGAGGTGCAAGGGGAAAGGACAGAGCTCGTCACCAGAGGCCGGCGCTCCTTCCAAGAAGAACCCAGGCCCATCGTGGCTGTGCCTACGCACAGGTCACTGCCACCCTGCCCCACAGCACGAGAAACCCACAGGTTGATGCCCATACAAAGTGTGGACACCAGATCTTGCTGTTGGAGGCCACACCCACTCAGCTAGAGCCTGCTCCTGTCCCTGACTCTGGTCACGCTTTACTCACGGTCACACGTCAGGTGCCAACCCCTGTGGAATTGGCCAGGAGTGCTAGGTCATCTACTAAAGCATTCATGCTGTAGATCACATTTTTAATTCTAATAAACATGTTTTTCCATCCTACGTAGTTACACGTGTAGCAGATTAATAAAACAATAAGAATTGCACACACTTACACACTTCCCTCTCACTTACTAGGTCCAGCACCTTTCTGTCCCCTTTGTGTTATAATAAACAATCGTATGAAGCAGGCACCGTCATCATCCTCACTTTATGGATGTGGAAACATATTCAGGGGTCTTGGGCTCACTCCTGTCCTCAAGTCCAGCCTCACCTCTAGTCACTTCGTCTGAAGAGCCCCCGCTTTACGGTGTATCTGTGCCAGCCTGGCTCTGCCTAAATTATGTGATGCTCCTTCAGGCCTCTGCCCAGGTGCCCACAGAGAGGTCTTCCCTGACCCCTCGCCCTAGGGAATGACTGAGGCCCGGAGAGGGTGGACACAGGCCACGACACACCGGCTTTAGACTCCTGCTCTAGAACCACAAAGCCCTTTGGGAGCAGAGATGAGGGAGACAGATTTTGACCTGGGACGGAGCACAGAGAGACCCAACTGAGGAAATTTCATTAAAAAAAAAGGTCCAGGGAGCCTTGAGACATGGGGCAGAGAGGACAGAATGAGCAGAGGCACGGGGATGCCCGCAGGGAGCTAGTGTGCGCCCTCGGAGCTCCTCCTGTGGCCAGGTGTCAAGTCCCCTGCCACTGTGGCCCCCAGACCTGAGCACAGACCAGGTGCAGCAGGCCAGAGCACAGGATCACCTCTCCTTCTTTCGTGCTCCATACTTCTATTAATTCACTGGAGACATTTACTGAAACAACCAGTGACTAAAACCCCCAAGTCTCTTTTAGTTCTCTAAATTTCAAAATCAAGAAAATGTTTTCACTTATGTTTTTCTCTGCCTGAAAGAAAAACTATCATCTCCAAGGGTTGAAAAGAAATGTCAGGAGAGTTTACCTGAAGCAAATGAGATTTCTGATGACTTTTAATCCTGTAAAACATCATTCATATGTATTTTCTAACTTTGTCTACAATAAAATTGCCTAGTTTTAAAAAATTAATGCTAAAAGAAGATAGTGCTACTTCACTGGTAGCCAAGCTCAAGACCTGGTTGACCTGAGAAAATCAGAGCCACTGTCTGCTGCTCCCTCTGCAAAAGGGACGGGTGGACAAGCCAGCTCTGGCCGCCTCAAGCCTTTCTGGAAGCAGCCGAGGACAGGCTCTTCTGCAAACCTGTTTCTCGACTAGGTATCTGCCTGGCTCGCACCTTTCCCTTGCTTGGGTCTGAAAAGATAAGAAATACTAGGTATAAAATCCTACCCTCTATTTGTTTCTACATTACCAGCCTCACAGGCCCTCTGGAAACCTCCTCAGGGCTATTAAGAGACTATTCCAAACATAGCTTTGCCCCCTCCTCCGAGTTCCCGCTGCAAAGTCCACATTCACCCCCCAGCAGGAGGCCTTTTGTGGTCTGGTCCCTGCCCCACCTTCCCAGCTTCCTGTCCTGGGACCATCCACTGTTAGCACTTTACACTCCTGAAATTCCTGATGAAAGCCACTCCTAATTCCCCCAGAGACCCCAGCTCTCCCCTCTGTCGCACATGCTGTTCCCTCTCCTTCTATCTGTCTTGGCCCCTTGGCAAACTCATTGATTCTTCAGAATCCTCTCAGCTGCTCCTGCCCAGGACAGTACCTTCTGTGATAAAATGGGGATAATGCTACTGCCTCATGGGGTTTTAGTGAGAATCAAATAAGAAACTAGACAGGACAGTTTCCTAACCAATGCACCTTGAATGGATTACAGGTGTGGCTTTAACACAAACCTCCCTGGGTGACCAGCCAGAGCCTGGGACAGCCAGAGGCCTGGCTCAGTAGCCTTATCCATTCACCCGGCGTCCAGGGCAAATGACTTTTTTTTTTTTTTTTTAGCGGAGCCATCCTGCCACCTGTTGGCAGCTCAGTGGCAGCTCAGGTTGGGCCGGGCATCAAACCGGTGACCCTGTTGCTCAGAGCTCGCACTCTTGAGTGAGCTCTTAACCAACTGAGCCACTCGGCCGGCCCGACATTTTCTACAATGTAAAAAGGTGGGGAAGTACCGAGATATAAAAAGTGCCTAGCACACAGTAGGTGCTCAATAAACGCCAATTCTTCTTAGCTACATAATTTCTGTGTTTCAACCCTACTGCTTTTCTTGCCAGCTTTACACTGTTCTGAAGTTGTGCTTATGTGCATCTCTCCGTCCCTAGACTGTGAGTTGTGAGTATGGGGACAAAGTTCATTCATCTCGGGATATGCGTCTGGTACATAGTAAGCACTCAGGAAGTGCCTGCTGCACTGAACTTTTGAAATTGCTAGGACGTAAAAAAGACATCGGCAGTCAGTGAACGCTGTCTCTCTCGTAAACGTGAAACCGTGGACGATCACTGCTCTGGAGTGCCAGCAGTAACCTCACAGATTATCCAAGGGAGCTGAGGATGCAAGTAGACCAGGAAGCAAGGGCTTCCAGAGCGTTCCATCTCCCACTCCGGAATGAAAACATAAAGACAGAACAGGGAAACGGCGGCGTTGGCCCAGGTGAAACACGTAGCAGAGCGATGCCGGGAGCGCCCCAGGGGACGTGGGACGTGCGCCCCCGGCGCCCCGGCGCCTACCTGGTAGCGGGGGTGGAAGCCCATGTACTGGTGGCACTGCTCGCAGTGGTGGTACGTGTTGTACGCCGCGTACTTGGACAGCCGCATCCGCGCCGTCTGACGCCGCACATACAGGTCCTCCGGCTTCCGGGGGGTCCCTCTGTCTGCAGGAAATCCTCACCGTTACGGAGCAGCAGGAGACAGAACAAATGTCCTCTTCCTGCCTACTCAAATGGAAATGACCGCAAATGCCATCACAGGAGTTTGTGGGATCACCTCTAGCCTGCCTGGGCGCTGGGGGTGACTCAGCTGGTCAGAAGTGATAGTCTCAGTGGGATAAGCTAATGGGCTGTTCACACAGTCAGCATCTTGTTCATGGGCCCATAAGTTTTATCAACACATAGTCATTGATTTGCTACATAACAATGTAAATCAATTGCCAGTGTAATGAAAATACTGTAATGCAGACGAATTGTCCCCATTTTTTCAGATGTCTTAGCAGGATTAAGATTTTAGCACCAAACTTCCATTCGAGATGAGTCCATGTGAAGGACCCTGCAGTGAAGGTGATCTGCTCTGAGAACCATGAGGATGAAATTATTCGTTTGAAATGGATCCTGGAGAGCCTTTTCCTCTCACATTGCATTCATCAAACTTCCCTAGTCGGTGTTTATAATCACACTGGCCACTAATAGTCTGTGTTTGCTGACGGTGACCCCGAAACACTGCAGGGTCATAATACTGTGAAAGTCAGTGGTCCCTGAAGAAGGGGGGAGAAAACAGGAGATCGAGAGAGGAGAGGGAAATATGTGCATTTTGTTATCCCAATCCCAGGTCATAAACCAAAATACATGTCTTTTATCCCCTGTTAACCAGGACCTTCAGAATATTCGGACCATGACAAACACCGAGACTGCCCTCGTCATTACCAGCACCGACTGCCCAGCAAGTCTTCTTCCTTCATGGGTTTCATGAGGAGCCCTTCCTTGTGTCCAGTGAGGTGGTGGTGACCTCAGCTCTCTACTGGGCACTGGCTAATTCACCACCACCAGATAATTGAGTTCATCACTAACAAAATTTGGCTATTCCTTTCCAAGGCTATCCCCATGTACTTTGGAAGAAGATGAAACAAGACATTTAAAAGTCTGACCTTCACTCTTTCTAGCCTGCTGGTGTGAACAAATCAGGCTGGCATCCTCATACTTTGGGTCGTGAATAATGTAGTCAAAAGACAGCTTCTTGAAGAGCTCCAGGTCTGGCCAGGGGTCACTGAGCTGGAGGTAATGCCAATCGGATTCTTCTCTGAGGTCTGCAAAATTGGGAGAAACACAGATATGTGACAAAACAGGAAGTGAGAAGGATTTATTTTAAATGTGCACAAGTGTTATTGAGTCTGTGAGTTACTGAGGGAACACCACTGGATCTTGAAGGCTCTTGGCGCATATCCCGTTTTCAGAATTGTTCTAAAGAGGCGTTCATAGTGACCTCTACCCAGAGGAACAGCCTTGTGCTGTGTTTCCTATTGGATGGGCTTGTTCTTCTGACGCTCATGCTAACTTCAATCCTCCCAGCATACCTCCCCCTCCCCCTTATGCTCTGTGCTTCTCCCTAGTACCATCCCCCAAATATACCACTCTGGTGCCCACTGCCAGTGAAGCCTAACGGAATTCTCTTTCTTGCTCGTCTGTGGAAATGCCCCCCAACCAGTATGGCCCAGCTCCGATCACTGCGTCTCTGGAAAGCCTCTTCTAAGTGCTCAGCCCACTGCGTTCTCCTTCCGGATGCCAACACCACTCGTGGCCCAAAGCACGTTTTACATTTGCCACGTTACCATCTTACATTATGATTGGTGCGGTCTATGGTGCTTACTAAATGCTTTTTGGTCAAAAGGTTAAAAAGTCTAGTTGATCCAACTTCAGTTACATAACATGTTGATTATACAGAGGGTGCCAAAAACGTATACACATTTTAAGAAAGGAAAAAAACCTATATTAAAATTGTAATACTCAATATATGCGATAACAAAAGATGAATACAAGTCATGTTTGACTTCAGCAATTATAAGAGGGGCTCACAGTGGTTCCCATCAGCATAATTTTAATACAGGTTTTTCCCTTCTTAAAATGTGTATACATTTTTTTGGCACCCTCTGTATATTACACACACACATCTATCTAGATCTATTTATCTTTCCTTCTATATTATACACATGGGCAGAGTCATAAGAAGGAGGAGAGGAAGGAAAGACGAGGGAGAGGAACATTTATTGTGTATTTCTAGGTACTCAGTGTTTCAGATGTGTAAGATAATTTAATCTTCACCACACCCTGTAAAACAGGAATTATCCAGGCTTTACCAAAGAGAAAACCCAGGCAGTAAGAGAACATTTAAGAAAATTAGTTTTGAAGTTTAACAAACTGGGTTCAAATCCTGTCTTTATCATCGGCGTATCCAAGGAAGTGAGGAGACAGAAACTCAACAGGCCCGTTTTCATCTGAAATACAGTTGATTTTCATCTGAAATATAGTTCCAAACTGTGGGGGAAACCACAGAAAACTCAGAGCCGGAAGAGCCTCTTTCCTTCAAAGGTAAGACCAAGGGCTGGATGGGCTTCCTTGGTTCCAAATTTTCTCCCAAATCCAGGCTTAGTCAAGGGCATCTGAAGAAGTGCTGTGTGTGAACATGGCGGGATTTCTCTCTTTATTAAGGTTGACTATTCAATTGTATGTAACACTGCATTTTCTTTACCATTCATCTGCTGCTGGACAGTTGCACCTCCAGGGACAACATATGGTTGTTGGCATATCTTGGCAGTTGAGAATAATGCTGGAGTGAACATGGAGACTGTGTGAGGTGATGGATATGTGAATTAGCTTGATTGTGGTGCTTATTTCAGTGTACATGCATATCAAGTTGTACATCTTAAATATATACCCAAAAAAGAGCTGTTTAGGCGCCAGGGCAGCCTACTGGTTCCCTTTCTTTACAATATGGACAGGACTCCTTAATGAATTTTAATTGCTAAAGCAACAAATGTGTTTACCAGACCACGTTTATGAGCCACAGGGAGGCAGCTATGAAGAGGAAATGGAGGCCGTGTTCTATAGTTAGCATAGAACAGCTGTTCAGAGACTCTCCCCTCAATCAGGGTAAATTCTGTTCTGTGGACAAGGAGAAAAGGCTGTTCCCCGCATATCATATTTCCATTTTGCCCTACGATATTGACCTCTGTGCCAGTTGCCTGAGCGGGGAACCTCCCCTGATGGATAACTCTGCTTTCTAGAGGCAGCCATCAAATCCAGGTTAGTGCCAGCTCAGCCACCTCGCAGCTGGGTTTCTGAGCACGTGACTTACAAGAAAATGGATACAGCAATGTCCCTTACCAGCAATAACAACACCTACCTCGTGGTGCTGTGCAGAAAATTCAATGTGGTAATTTATGTAGAGCACCTAGCACAGTACTTGACACATGAATCAACAGTAGTTATTTTTAGTATGGTGATTTTATCCCGCCAAGGCCTCCCAGGCACTCTCCTGACATTGAGCAAAATGGCCACAAGGGGAAAGTCAGAGCACCCTACAAGGCCCTTGGGGTGAATCTGATGGTGAGCCTGAGAATTCCATCCAGAAACTAAGAGACACAAAGTCACTTGAGAAGCTGATTCCGAGCCCCAGGGTCGCCGACGGAAAACTCACTGGTATTGATCTGCTCCTCATCGTAAACATCCACTTCCGTCAGCCGAGTGAGCATTGTGGACAAAACACTGAGGAACTGCAGGTAGGCACCCGTCTTCCCGACCTGTGAGGACATGGAAATCGCCGCCACCCGTCAGGATGCCCTGCCTACGCGCTGGCCCTGGCCGAGCACCTGGCACGCCACAGCCTCTGCCTGTTTTAAAGATCTCACCTAATTAAAATGAGAGCCCGGCGAGGCAAAGACACTTGAGGGAAAATGTGGCCTGAAGAAACGTGGCAGGTGGACAGACGGGCTGCCACTAACAGGAGACCTGCCTGCTTGTAAACCAAGGCAACTCATCTCCGGCTTTAACCTGACACTCATGCCTTGAAGATTTTTGCCACTTGAGAGGTGAAATGGCCTTTTGTTGTCAGGGAGACACAATGAGTTGGGGTAGAGCTGGGATGCTGACAGCCCTCCTGTCTCCGTTATGTTTCACAGAAATCTTCCAGTGTTAGAGCCAGCAAATCACACAGACTGGCCGTGAGGATCAAAGGAAATAATATGGGAAATGCAGCATCGCAGTCTGAAGAATCGAGGGGTACCCACAGAGAACCCCTCCGTCCCCCACATCACACAAAAGAAGCAGCTGAGGTGAGAGGACAGACGTCACCCAACCGAGGGCAGCAGGCAGGTCCCAACCTCCATCCACCTGAGGGGCCATCACAGAAGACTCTGCCATGGGGATGCTGTCAGCGCTGACCCTGCCCCCTGGCCTGAGCACAAGAACCCCCACGCAGTCCGGGCCACGGCCGGACGCACCCACCTGAGGGGGCCCGCTGAGCAGCAGCCTGCGCGGGTGGAAGCTGTCCACTCGGCCCTCAGCGCGGTTGCCGTAATCCATGTGGCTGGGCCGGGGCACCGTCCACTGCCGGTAGTACAGGGACTGCTCTGTGGAGGTCATCGTCTTGCTGAGCAGGGGCCGGAAGGAGCTGGCCCACACGACCGAGTGGGAGGGCAGGAGCGAGGCGGCCTTGGGCAGGCCGCTGCTGTCGGTGGACGTGACCATGTCGTACACCAGCTTGGGCAGGAAGACGACGGGCGGCTGCTGGCAGGTCTTGGTCATGGAGCACTGGGAGGCCTGCAGGACCAGCGTGCCGGCGGCAGCGGGCACCGCAGCCGAGGAGGAGAGCTGGGAGGATGACGAGGTGACCGGTACCTGGATGCCCTTCTGGCTGGTCTTGAGGGCGGAGTCAGGCTGGGGGGCCAGCCCGGGGCTGTGCCTGCTGGTGGCCGCTGGGCCCTGACTCGCTCGGAGCCTCTGCTTGTCACCAGGGGCCTTGCCCTCCTCTGAAGGGCCACAGGGCTGCGGGCTTCGGCCCTGCTCCCCCTGCGAGGGCCCCCCAAGCTGAGAGGAGGACTCACCACAGAGCACTGAGCCTGGGGAGAGAGGAACCTGTCAGTCACGCCCCAGAAATGACCCGTCCTCAAACCTGACAGCCACCTGTTTCTGCAGCACAAACTACCTCTATTTGACAATTACTGGGAGTTTTTGTCAACAAAATTCCACCTCTGGTTAGATATAAACTCTTTTGTCCTATGACAAACCCAAGGCCTGCTGTGCGGAGAGGGCTGGTGACACCTACATGGTATGGCTTTGCCCACACCCCCAATGCCCAGCACGCCACCTCAAAGGTCTCTCCTCCCCTCTGCAAACCCCCCGCCCTCATCTGTTCCCGAACCTCTCACCCTGGGCCCTCAACCTACGCTCCTGCTTCTGTGCAGGTTGTCTGTCCCCTTTAGATACCCTCTCTTCCCCTCAGATAACCCCTTCTCCACCTGGAAACACTCTCCTCCATCCGATACCTTCTCTACCCAGATACCCTCTCCTCCAAGTGCCAGTGAAAGGTCAGGTACTCTCTGAAACCTGCAGTGACCATCCCCTCCCTCTAAATCCCCCACCCGAGATAAAATTAATTACTGCTTTATATCCATAACCATATCTAATTTATCTTTAATGCCTGGATTCAGACATAAAGTAGGTTCTGGATAAATGCTTCTGATATTGTTTCATGTGTTACCGGTATATTGTTTCAGGACCAAGGCATCCCTGAGGGCACCGACTTGGGGCATTTTATTCACATTCCCTGTTCCCTCCGCCAAAGTGCGGTCCAGCTCCGAGGTCCCTGAGCCCTGCTGCCCACGATGCTCCCCCTCAGTGGGGTTTTCTGGGTCTGCTCTCTGCCCTCAGGCTCCACGACAATGCCTGGCCCAGCTCCTCTCCTGCTGACTCCCCAAACCTGGGGAGCCCCAGGGGGGACAGCCCTCTGCCACCACATGGGACAGAAGCCATCATCCTCCCCCAGGAAAGGAGCCACTGAACCTCGCCTTTACTCTCTAGAAAATCCAGTTCTTCAAAGATTCTCTTCTCTTTACAGTTCCAGGTGGGATAAAGGATCTCTCTGTTCATTCTCTAAAATCTCAAGAAAACGGTCCAACCGTGGGCTCTTTCCCCCGCAGACTTACTGGACGCCTTGGAGGACAGGGGCGAGGACGCTGAGTCGTGGGAGTGGGGCCGTTCCCTCTTCACGGGGCTCCTCTTCTCCGACGTGGAGCCTGTTTCAAATCACACACACTCAAAGTGCCTCGTGATCATTGCGCCACAGGTTCACCCAGCACTTTACAGTTTGCAAAGTGTATTCGCACCTATCATCCCTCCCCATCCATCCATCCATCGCCATCTTCCAGGTGCCCACCTCTGATAGAGCACTGACAGGACAGGATAAGATGCAGGGTGGGCCAGTGAGGCCCTCACAGCTCAGTGGGGGCACCCACCTGTGAGCTGGAGCTGCAAGGTGGTGTAAGGAGTGCAGACAGAGGGGCCAGGGAGCCCAGAGGCCAGGCACCCACCCAGCATAGGGGGGCAGAGTCAGGAAACTTCCTGGAGAGGTGACCCCGCCCTGCGTGCTGAAGGGCCGGCAGAGGTTCCCAGGTGAGCATCTGAGTGGCCCAGAGCGGACAACACCAGAGCACAGCCAGGGAACCACTAAAGTTGGGCGTGGCCAAAGGCATGGGGTGCAGTGTGGGGGGCTGGAGAGTTAAGAGCGACCGGTGGGTCGTGGAATGCCAGGGGTGTGGATCACCCCACGGACAGCAGGGAGGTGACATTTTAATGTCAGAGTCACGGTCAGAGTGTGAGCGAGACAGTGCCACAGCACCAGGGATGTCTGGCAGGCAGCTCTTCCAATCCCTATTTTACAGCTAAGCACTCTGAGGCTAGGACAGATGACACGGTCTATCCAAAGTCACACAGGTAGCAGATGGAGGAGGAAGAGGAACCCCAGCCGCCTCACCAGACTTCCATCTCTCCACTACACCACACCCCACAAACTCTTTGCATTTTTGTATTAACAGTTTTTTGTTTTTTCTCGCTATGCTCTTGACTACAACCAAATGTCTCGCACTGCTCTGATTTATACACCCTATTAAAAATACGGTGTCAGATGTTCAAGTCTGCAAATGAACTGGCCTGTTTTCATAAATCTCAATAATGGACACATGCTGTCAAGTTGATTCACATAGAGGAAATAAGCAAGTGAATCGTATACCAGGCAGTAATTCCACCAACGATGGGAACAAAGCATGAACTTGAACCCTAAGAAATCTCCATTTTTCTTCCTATTCATTAAGAATTCTAGAGCTAGGAAGAACTGATTGGGATTTTTATTTTCTTTTTTCTTTTCTTTATTTTTTTCTTTTTAGCTGCGCCATCCTGCCACCTGTTGGCAGCTCAGCAGCAGCTCAGCTCGGGCACAGCTCACTGGCTCATGTGGGGATCAAACCGGTGACCCTGTTGCTCAGAGCTCGCACTCTTAAGCACGCTCTTAACCAACTGAGCCATTCGGTCGGCCCCTGGGATTTTAATTTTCTTACACCACCAAAAAAGGGGGGAAAAAAAGCAAGATCTGAGCTGAATGAGAGATTCGTCATTTCCTCCAAAGACGCATCTAGACAGCTCTCACCCAGAGCTGCTGGCCAGGGCCACGTGGAATGGCGACAGCTGTCTGACAAGCACAGGCTGCCCCCAGGGTTAGAAGCCAAGGCCGACCTTCCATCCCCAGCTCCTCGTCCTCGTTGTCGGTGCTGCTCAGCTTCTCTGTGTCGCTCTCCAAGGCCTCGCTGCGGACCCCTTTCTCCAGGGAAATCTCGTTGCTCACGAAGTAAGCCGCCAGGCCCAGCTCCTGCTCCAACGCTGTTCTCACCAAGCAGGAGGAGTTGATCAGCCGCAGGTCGCAGTACCTCAAAGACCTCGGAGGAAACAGAAGACAGTGTCTGTCAGCTGCCTTCTCCAAGTGAGCACCGCTGGGCACTGAGGGAAACTGCGAGCAGAACCAACGCCCCACCTTCCCCGGTAGAGCCCTAGGACTTGTGCCGATGGAAAAGCAAACAGCATCTCTGAGAGCCCTTCGCAGCACAGTTTAATGGGAAGTCTCCCGGGGCACCTGCTATGTGTTTAGTCTGCGTGGAATCAAAACAGCACCAACATGAGATGAAAATGAGGCTCGTAAGCCCAGCTCTGCCACTTCCTAGGGACAGGACCTTCCACAAAGGTTCAACTTCTCGGAGGCTCAGAATTTCTTCCTCTGAATGATGGGAATGAATATTAATAACAACCTAAGTGTATTGTTGTGAGGACTACATGTAATAAGTGGACATTTAATTATCCAATCAATATTTAAAATGTGCCAGGGACTGTGTTTGATGGTAGGGATACAATGGCAATCAAGTCATCATCACATTGGAAATGAGAGTCTGTCTGGGTGTAAGACAGACATCAACTAGTAGTGACATTTCGAAGAACGTGACAAAGAGGACAGGCCAGTGCAGGGCTCAGGGGTGTGAAGTGGGAAAAGCAAAGAGCTTAGACAGAGGCAGATGTGGTTCCCGTTGGCCCTGCAACTTACTGCTCTGCGGCCTCAGGCAAATGGCCTTTCATTTGCCCACCTATAAAACAGTATAGTAATACTATTGTTGCAAAGAGTAAATGCTACGTGAAAAGTCTAGCACAGTGCCTACGACAAAGAAGGTATTAAGTAAATGCTTGCTCACATTTAAGATAAAGACACTGTCTTCGTCCTTAAGGAGCTGAAGAATGGAAGAATTAATCCATGTAAAATAGCAACAAGCACCAAAGGTCAAACCTTTGGAGTCCCCTTTTCCTGGCCTGTGCATACGCAATGTACAGCGGTCCTTGAGTCAGTGGGGTGTGGCCCAGTGGAAAGCAGCCAGGCTTTGGAGTTGGGCAGCCCTGGAGTCCACTGTCAGCTACACTGGCTAAACCTGTGCATGCCTCCGTTTCTTCATTAGTTATATGGGACCACTGTAATAATACCCTTCCCCAGGGCTATGGCGAGAGTAAAATGAAATAAAGCACATGAAAATAATCTAGTAGAATGCCAGCACGTAGCAGGAACTCAATAAATGTCAGCTCTCACTATTCTGTTACACAAGCAAAGACGTGCAAAGGCCCTGGGCACGG